AAAAAAAAAAAAAAAAAAAAAAAAAAAAGGTTCTTTACTGGTTTGCTACCTCACAGGGATTCTCCCTACCTGTCCTCACCTGGGCCTGCCCCTCACAGAGAAAGGACGTGGTGTTCAACACACAGTTCCGCGAACGCTAAGGGCTGTGGCAGAAAATATCCCCAAGACTTACAGAGAGCAAGAGCAGCCTCAGTGAGTGGTGGGGCTGGCGCCACGCAGGCGCCACCCATCAACAGACCCTGGAGGCTTCTGATGGCACAACGGGGCCTTGGGCAACAGCTTCTCTCCACCAGGACGAAACAGCCACCAGAAAGACACCTGACCAGCCAGAGGGGGTGGGTACCAGGTAGGCCTGGGAACACCACCTCACCCAGTTCAGATTGCTCTCCCAGGAAGCAGAGGAGCAGATGCTTGTCTCATTAACCCTTTCAGCAAAACTTCCAGAGATGTCACAGAGACACTTCAGAGGCCTGAAGCCAACTTCCACATGGCCACTATGCAAAGAGCTAACAGCTACGTATGAACATGACGGCCTTCTATACCAAAACCAGCACGGGGACCAAAGAGAGTAAACACAGGGTTTTCAGACCTGGAGTGATTTTCTCTAGGCCTAAAGCCCGAGAGTACACAGCAGCTGAGAGCTCTGGGGAGCTGCCCAGGCCCTCCCTTCTGGGGGCTAAGGTCCTCACACGACCCATCCACACATTCTGTCCACTTGCTTCCCGGCACCTCCCCCTGCACTTCCTCAAAGCTGCCCACTGCTGGGAAGAGGCACCATCCCCTGGCCTGTGCTGCTGTCCCTACAGCCTTCCTGTCCCCTCATGTGCTGGCCATGTACCTGGCACTGCACCACCCCCTCTCTTCCTGTCTGGGAAAACCAGCCCTCTCTGCTGGCTTTTGACTTGGCAGAGTCTCTACCTGGCTACTGTGAGCACATCCTGGGAGCACAGGCAGGGCTGTGCGGGGGGAGAACGGGCCTGCAGCTGCCACACAATCATAAAGGCTGAAGCTCCCTGGGCTGTGCCGACAAAAGCTGGGCACAGATCCTCATTTCTTCAACTATCTCAGTATTGTGAGTTTCTCTCACTTTGACCACTTCCCCATCTGACATCAATCCCACATCCTGGCACAGCCTCTGCACTTTGTGGTACGGCTGCATCTGGAGTCTTAGGAAGCCAGGGACAGAACCCAGGGCCTGATTCAGAGCTCTCCCAGTTCACTCCAGTCTCTGTGGTCAGCCTAATGCTCTACTGCATCCACCCTTCCCCAGCAGGGCTGTAGAGAAAACGGATGACCAGGACGACAAGGAGGCCTCTGGGCACAAGAATCACCAAAGAGCAAGCGCGGCCAGCACAGAGGCCTGGGCTCCCCACTCAGCAGCTCAAGACAGAATCTGCTAGAAAGCGGGAAATGCAGGAGGTGCTGACCCCACCAGGAGCATGTGCAATGAATACACATGGGCTCACACATGGGTACACACGAGCACAGGCACATGTGGGCACACATACACATGGGCACAGACACACACAGGCACACATACACAGGCACACACACACGGGCACACACACACCAGGACATATACACACACGCGCACACACACACAAACATAGACACACACACATGGACACATACAGGCAGGTACACACAGGCACACACACAAGCATGCATACACACAGCACACATGGGCAGACACGTAGAAACACACATGGGCACATCCACACAGATGCACACACATACACATGGGCACATCCAGGCAGACATGGGCAGATGCACACACACAGGCACACCCATAGGCGCGCGCGCACACACACACACACACACACACACACACACACACACACACACAGGCATACACATTCCTGCCCTGCAGCCTCAGACCCCCACCTGCACTTAGGAAGACCTCCCTGGCTCCTGCGCACTTCTAAGGCTCCTTTTGGTTTTTACTACAAATGATGGAGTTTCTTCCTGTGCCTTTGTGGCCCTGAGGGGAACCATGGACTCCCTCCTGTGCCCAGCTGTCAGAAGACCCACAGGTGAGCAGCCCCAGACCTCGCCCAGGGCTGGACGTGCACCAGGAATCTCCATGTGTGTGGGACCAAGGGTGAAGCTCTCCAATCAGCCCCATGGGGCTGAGCCTCGAGTGAGGAGGTGGCGCATGGGGGTCTGTGCTCCTCCCCTGCTGCCCTGGCCTGGACAGCTTGCAGAGCGCTCGAGTGGGTCCTAGCGCAAAGCTGGGAGGGGCGGGCGGGGGCCGGGGATGCCCACAGAGGGCACACTGCAGGAGGGGCTGCGGGCTGGTACCTGTGTCCGAGTCCTTCTGCTCCCCATTGGCGCCCGCGGTAAAGGGCAGCTTCCGCTTGCTGGCTCGCTCCCTCACCTCCTTCCCGCCATCACCACGCTCCAGCTTTGGAGTCTTGGTTAGAGAAACTTTATCTTTATCCTAGAAAAGAAAGGGATGCTTTCAGTCATTATTACTAAATTAAATGCTCAAGCTCACTGTCCACTAAGATTCTGTTTCATGTGCCAGGAGAAGCAGATCTCTTATGTGGGCAATGAACACCCTTCCTGCACGCCAGGGCGTGGCTGGGAGAAGCTGGTCACCAACCGCAGAACCTTCACCCAGAAGCCTGGGGCCTGGCTGTGGCTCAGCCCTGACCCTGGCCCACAGTTCGTCCCGTGCACCTGAGGGACTCTCGGAAAATCACTGGTGTGTGTGTGGAGAAAGCAGAGGCGACAGACCCGCGCTACCTCCCACTCGACTCCTGCCTTCCTGGGGAAGTACTAAACAATGAGGAAAAACCAGGGCTTTGCCTTCTCCAAAGAGAGGCGTTGCCACTCATAGCTACATTCCCATCAGGAGTTTCGCTGTGGAGTGAAGGCAGGCAGGGACTCCAGGAGATACGTGTCCTCCCCGGGGGAGCGGCCGGGCTAGGCTCCCTCCACCCTCAGTTCTGGGAGCTGACACTCCTTCCTCTGCACATAACTCACACGGGCTGTGCTATAGTTTTGCCTTTTCCATTCTTGAACATGGACTTGTCCGCTATTCTTGAGGCCACTGCGCAGCCCCCAGCCCCCATCTCTCACCTCCCCAAGAGGCAGGAGGAACCCTGTGGGGTAGCAGAGCCCCCTGCAGGTCTGAGTGCAAGGCCCACCCAGCAGGCAAGATGCAGGGCAAGACCACGAAGGCCCAACTCCAGCCCCAGCCCCAGCCCCAACGTTGGCCTTGACCAAGTGTGTCTCATGGGCATAATCCACTGGCTGGAGGACGTGTCCTGGGGATGGGAATTGGGAGCCGGTGTGACAACACAGTGCTTGGGACACGAGGTTTCTGTAATTTCTGCAGTCTCCTGAATGGTACCATGTGGGGGAGGTCACAAGACGTGTATGGAATGGTACAGCTGGGAACCATGGAGGGAGAGAGGGTGGGGAGCCCAATCTCAAGCCCAGGTAGCAGAGCATGCAACAGTGGAAGCCCCGAGACAGACTTCGCACCCTCCTTTCACAGAGCAGACAGGAGCACCGGGGTGGGAGTGGGGGAGCCCCGAGACAGACTCAGGCACCGCCAGCACTGTCACGGCACCCCTCCCAGAGTAGAGAGGAGCACCGGTGGTGGGGCAGGGTGGGCGGGCAGGCTGACCTGGCTCAGGCTGCTCACTGGAGTCTTACAGATTCTAGTCAGCACCAGGACTGGACAGGCACAGCAACTCCACTCCCCGGCCTCTCCAGTACACATCAGATGTGGAGGCTCCGGAAATGGCAACTTCCCTTACATGGGGCACCAACAGAGCCACAGGGAAGATGCAGGGCAGCACCCACCCACACCAACCAAGCATGTCACACACAGAGGTCCTGGGTGCTGCATCTCGCTGCCATCATGGACAGCACCGTCCCCAGAAGCACACTGCCCCTTCCCCACCAGTAAGCCTTCCTTCTGGAACTAACCCTGAGTAAGCTGCCGGCAAATACGGTGCAGTGGTCAGCGGCACCCTCAGAGCACTGGAGGCCTCAGCTGCTCCGGGGCTGAGACGCTCAACTATTCTGAGAAGCCCAAGCACCCCCAGCCACAGTCTTGCCTCCTGGGGCCCAGATGCATCTTCTAGCTCAACTGGTCAACACTGCACCCACCAAACCTGGCAGTTAATCAGCAACATCCCTGAGTGACCATGGGAGAGCTTTCCAGAACATGCTGCAAGCTTGTTTCACAAAGGCATCCGGAGTGAGAGAGAAGCTGCCAAGCAAGACCTGAGTCATGGCCATGTGCCCACCTCTCCAGTGAGCATGGGGACAGGAGGAGGGCGCCAGGCAGACCTCAGGGGAAGACGGGGCCTCAGGAGTGTGACACCCATCCCAGCAGGGCAGGTCCCTCCTGGCCCTCGGCCAGGGTGCCCAGATGCAGCTCGCCTGCCGCCTGGTTGCACCCCAGAGCTTTTCAACGCCCCCGCCTCCCCTGCTACAGAGTGCAGTCCCCACTCACTGGAATGAGAGAGGCATTTTCCCCAGGGCTGGCCAATGCCAGGAAAGAATGGCACACACCAGGAAGAAGCGCATCTTAAACCCCTTCCTCCAAGAATACTCCTGGCCCAGGGGAGGGTTCTACCAAACATCCGAGGTACCAAGCATCATAACCCTAATTTCAGAACCTGAACAGGGTATTCCATGAAAAGAATATTATAAACCAACATACCTTATGAACACAGACAGGGCGCGTGCGTGCGTGTGTGTTTATGGTAACACAAATTATAGGAATAGGAATAGATTTGAGAATGCAGGCAATTTAGAAAGCAATGTATTTTACCACATTAAGAAACTAAAGGAAAGAAAATCACGTGCTCATTTCAAGAGCTACAGAAAAGGCCCGTGATAAAATTCAACACTGTGATGTGGGAGAAAAAACCCCAAACTCATCAAGGCCTCCAGGAAGCCTGGGAAGAAGGAAGGCTGTCCCCAGGGCCACGGATGAAGGCAAGAAAGCCTACAGGCACACCCCAGGAAAAACACAAACAAAAGTTCTGACAGGCACTTCACAAAAGAAAACATCCAAATAGACAATGAACATTCAAAAGGTGTTTCTCATCAGGAAAAAGCAAATTACAGCCACCAGGAGACGCCTGCCAGCGATTCTGCCAGGACGGCTGGGAGAAGACAGGCTCCGCCCCAGCAAACGCCAGCGAGGCTTCTTCGCAGGAGAGCTGCAAGTGAGTTTCCCATGACGTGGACTGAAAGGAGTGTGTGTGTTTACAAGCAAGTACAAGGACATTCACGGCAGTTTTCTTCGTAATACAAAAAATGACACAACTAAACTGCCTGTCCTAAGGCAAATGTACAATTCTAGAATACAAATGAAGTACTGCAGGGGGTGTGCACACCGTGAACGCAGGAGGTGCATGCCATAAACATGGGGTGCACAGCATGAACACGGGGTGCTCGCCATAAACATGGGGTGAGCGCCATGAACACGCGGTGTACGCCGTGAACACAGAAACGAAGCTGGGAACGTGTGTACCCCAAAGATAGGGCCTCCCCTGGAATCAGACTGGACTCAATCCCTGCTGCTGAGGAAAACAAAAGTACTAACAATCTTAACATGACATGACTGCATACATGAAACATGCAAAGGAATACACAGCTCAACTACTCAAGTTCGTAAATGGATGAGAAAACGTGGATACAGAAAGTGAACGGTTCTGTCTGACCATGAACAATCAGGACATGACAGCAAGAAAGACAACGAGCTGTGCAGGGAAAGCAGACACGGGCAACCAGAGAGGCAGGTGCTCTCTACATGGGCAACCACAAACATGGCTGAGAAGACACGGAGCGGACATGAAGGGCACACGGACAACCACAAACATGGCTGAGAAGACACGGAGAGGACATGAAGGGCACAGGGGGCTATCACGCTCATGACGGACAGGCACAACGCCGGTGTGGTAGCCCCCCGAGGGAGTTCCACTGTTGCATTACAGCGACCACAGAAAGTCAACACTAAGACAAAAGTATGCCAAATTGCAGGGTCACTATTGCCGGCGGCCACGGGGGACTCATGTCTCTTCAACCCATGGCCCCAAAAAAGAGGGTGTCAAGACTTTTTATGTCCATAAACTACCTTCTGGGCAGAGGTGGGGGCGAGGGGCTTTGGACACTCCGAGGGCCAGTGGACTTTGGACATTCTGTAAACCAGCTCCTCGGCAGGGTTGAGGGTGAGGGGACTTCGGACATTCCGATTGTTACTTAAGTGGTTCACAGAAGTCAAGATAAGCGTTAGTTTACACGTTGCCTGGGTAGAGTGGAAATTACAGACCTTAGTTACTTATTACAAGCTGCAAGGGCCAGGATGGCGTGGGTTTGGACTGCTTGCCTGTCACATCAGGGTTACAGAGAGCAGTTTCAACAGAAAGCCGAGGTATGGTTGAGGTATGCAGTTTTATGGGGCTTTTACCATGTCACATTCCCCCCTTGTTTTATTTATACAAATTAAATTATTAATTTCTCTAGTAGGTTAGTATTGTTTGTTTGTTTTAAGGGGCATTTGCTACAGGGATTTATAGCATGGATTAGGGTGGCGAGGGTGGTGACTGCGAAGAGCGCACAAGGTTTAGTTTTAGTGAATCAGGGGATGAATGCTTGACGCTTTGCTGTTTCTACAGTGGGGCAGTCTTGACCTGTGTGTGATGCATTTAGGCTGTCACTCCATCTATCTCGAGTGCAGTAGGTGTGGTCAGGATAACTGTGTAGGGTCCCTTTCAATGGGGGGTGAGGCCGGAGGTGGCGAATCTTTTAACAAGGACAGTTTCCCGGCTGGAAGGGGTGTGTCGGCTGGTCTGCAAGGTCTGTTGGGGTGGGACGGGTATCCTTAATGAGCTGGTGTACTTGGGAGTGAACAGACTGGAGCGCCTGTAAGGACTTAAGGAGTGTATAATTACGGACTTTAGCATGTACATAAGGTATCTGTGAGTCTGGGGAGTAAGGGAGAGGGCCTGCTGAACATGATTTTAAAAAGGGAGAAATTTTTTGGATAGGGTGTGCATTGGATGCAGGGAGGACAAAAGGAAGCAGGCTGACTTAGTTTTTATCCGTTTTTAGGGTAAATTTTCTCAGGGCTTTTTTTACGGTCTGGTTTATTTGTTTGACCTGTTCTGAATTCTGGAGACGACAGGTATAGTATAATTTTTAGGATATATCCAGGGCCTTGGCTAGGCCCTGAGAAATGTGTATAGTAAAGGCGGGCCTAACCTGACTTTAGTGTTAGAGGGAGGTTGAACCGAGGAACAAGGACTTGTAATAGTTTTTTTTTTTTTGTGACCATCAAAGTAGTTTTGGACTTAGTGGGGAAGGCCTTGACTCATTTAGAGAATATATTTATACATACAAGGAGGTATTTATAGTTATTTATTGGGGGTTTTATTTTAGTGAAATTTACTTCTTACTGTTTTTCAGGGC